CGCAGCCCAGCCCTCACTGCCAATTCAAAGAACTACAACCCTCCTACCGAAAACCTCCTTAAAAAACACCTCCAAGATCCTGCAAGGGCCCCCAAGATGGCCCCAAATCCCCCCAAGATCCCCCCAAGATCACCCCAAGACCCCAAGAGCCCCCAAGAGCCCCCCCAAATCCCCCCAAGATGACCCCAAGATGCCCCCAAGAAAGCCATCCATGGCAACGCCCAACAATCCAGCCTGTGGTGCGGGGCAGCCGAAAAAACCACACAAAATTAGCGTCCACGCCCCCGCAGCCCCCCCGCCCAAGGCACCAGGCTCACTCCGTGAGGTACTAAAACAAGCTCCCTCCGCTTTCGTGACATGCGTGCTTGCACCTTGTGATGACATCGCTGCCTGTCAAGATGCTTCAACAGGTAGGTAGGAACTGGCCTCCACTGCCCGAAGTTTGTGCGAGCCCACAGCAACGGGCGCCTCAGGCATGCACCAGGCATATGCCTGATTTCAGCGGAAAAGACTCGTCGTTCCTCTCTTAGTCGCGTGCAATCCATGTGACTAACTTGCCCATGGTCTGCTTCATCATGTTTTGAATGTTCTCGTTGTAGATGTCCTCGGCACAAGCATTGATGAACGGCTCTGCAGTGGTGCCTCAAGAAAGTCCTGCAAATCTGCCCAAACAGGGATCGTTTGCAGGTATGCAATCACCTTCACTGGCAAAGCTTCAGTTTCAGCAGGTTGTTGCTCTGCGTCCAGCCTTGTGAAAATCGAAGAAGTGGTCTACCAGCAGCTTGGCATAAAGCGTTGCGACATCCCTGGCTGGAATAGTCGAACATCCCTTCAAGCACGCAACTCTGCCATCCTCTGTCGCTTCAGGAAGAGGCCCTGGATGCTGCCCAAGTACCACCCAAACACCTGAATCATGCGCAAACTCCTTGTAGGGTCTCATCACCGACTTTTGGGATCTCAGTCGTGCAGAATTAACCTCTGGCGTTCCGGGGCCCTAAGGCGCAGGCTCGAACTGGGCGCGGATGGCAGGGCTTGAAGCACATCTGAATTGCCAGCCTTCATTACGTCGTCTACGGCATTGATAATGATTGTGGCTTGCAATAGTAGGCCATTGGAATCATCACGCACGCTTTGCATCCAAGAACCAATTTGTGAAGATGCCCAAGAAGAATCCTGTTCCGGGCAATAGGATCATCCTGCCTGGCAGCTGCTTGGCTGACATGCAACCGTACCTGGCTTGAGGTGATGGCCTGTTGCGTCCAGGCAGTTGAAAGCAAGCAGCCTGCTCAATCACAGTGGCTGTTCTCAGGCAAAAAACACGCTTCCCATAATCGTCCCAGCAGAAAAGCTCATATGTTGTACAACTCAAGTTGTTTCTGCAAGGGCTGTTCGAGAGAAAAGTGCCAAGTCGGATGTGCTTTGACCAAGGCACTGAATCAGACCACACACGAAGCCCAACGCTGCTCCACATCCTGAGAGCTGTCAGACCGCACCCATTCGTTCGACACAGCCATGGCGTCTAGGCTCCAAAAAACGGCTTAGGCGGAAACGCTCAATGAAACGGAACTCTTTGTCTCCCATAGACAGGAAGAAGTGATTCAACAGCTCCTGCAACTGAAGGACCCTACGCACTCCTGGCTGTTCTTCCAGCAGTGCACAGGCCTTGTGCTCATTGAAAACGGACACAATCATGCCATCATTGTCCAGACCTGCCCAGAAGCCAGTTGGGATGCAAGGACACACAACGTCACCAGGAAGGCTAGCGTGGCTTCCCACCTATCACTGGGTCACACAGCTTGTCCGTGACCTTGTGCCACATTTCCGGGAAGCTCTCCTTGAACGGAGAACAAACCGTGTCTTTTCTCAACAGTCCTTCTTCGCACCTCAACTTTCTCCATGACAATGGAGACCAGCTCATCCTCCACGCCCGCAGGTAACCGTCCATCCTTTGCCTTGGCTTTGCATTGGTTGCTCTATCTCTTTCCCCTATACTGAGCAGGCAGTGGACGGAAGTGTTTGGAAGTGTTTAAAAATACGAGCTCCTTCAGCAAAGCAACTGTAGCATGCAACAAAGCCACACCAGACTGCGGAAGCCTTATCTTCTAGCTCAAAACTATATGCAAAACCAACCCTCAGGAAATCCCCACACAGAAGGCCGCTCTGTGGTTATCTCTGAAAATTCCCGAGGCAAGCCAAGCTGAAATGTGCAGGCATCAGCAGATCAGACCCACACAGTCAACAGCCCAGGCCATCTCCATACCGCACTCACAGCACTCCACAACCCGGCATACGCAGGCACGCGCATGTGTTGGCAGGAGCACAATCAATTTCTCAACACAGCAACAGTCCCGGAGACGAGCAGGATATGCGCGGGGCTGTGAAGGGAGCGCGCTGTGGCAAAAGCCACCCGTGACGCGAGACTGCAGATAATCCCGACGCGTGGCGAAAGCACGCCTTCTCCTTACGAGATCTGAGGCACCGAAAGCAGCAACAGTTCTACGAGGATCGCGAGGAACCAAGCAGGATAGTTTTCAGCCAATTTTTTGGGACACTCCAAGCATTGCCGCTTTGGAGGTCTGTTTCGTCACCTCCCAAAGCAAAACCCACTATTGCTTGTGCTGCTGCAAACCAAGCCTGAAGCCTCTACAGGGAAATTCGGAGAAGGAAGACGAGAAACTGGACTGGTTATGATCCAGGCCAATGATCATCAAAATCCCTTACAAATTTCTAGTTTGGACAGGGGACTAGCATGGAGGGGAAGTGACGCCTCATCACGCTTGCCATGGAAGCCTCAGCTGCAAGTCTGCCAGCAAATTTAGGGAACGGGCCGACAACTTAGCCGCAATCCCTTGCGACGCGCTCCAACATGGGATGAATCTGGCAGGAGCTGCAACTTCAGCTCTTGAAGTCTCAGCGACATCTGTGCAAGAAAGTAGAGATGTCACGCCTTTGCGAAAAGCAAGCTCGTATCTACTCGAGCAAACCAATCCTTGGGGCCCATCAGATAGGGCCTCAGACCAAGGCAACAAGCTGAAAGGCTGAGCTCCTGTTGTACCATGCATGGCTCTCTTGCTGTTACCATCAACATCCGCCCCACCTGCCTCGCGCAATTGAAAGCAATCTTGCCCATCTTCTTGGCCTTCCTTGCACAGCGTTCATCTTGAAAGCAGCCAGCCGCATGAATCACTTGAACGGCTTTCGTGCCTAGGAATGACACCTTGCCATCCAATACCAATTCCTGTGTCACTGTACCTGCGCACCGCAAATTTGGAAAGTTGGGGAACCACGTCGCACAGATGGAATTTCAACGGGTACTTTTGCAAAGCACAGTGTAACAACCTGCATCCGCAGTGGGAGCTCACTGCCAGATGCCAAAAAACCTGAGGGGAAGAAACCTCAGCTTCAACGGTATAGAAATAGCTTGGTTCATGGATTCCAAGAGCCCAGCATCATCTTGATAGCTAGCCATATGTGGAACCTGGGCTTGCAACTGGCTGTGCTTTCCTCTGGCAACTTTCTCGATGCTGAGAGCACTACCAAGTGAAAAACAGCGCCACGACGGGTATGGATACCAGCAGCGCGGTATGGTACACCTGAACAGGCACATGAAGTTCAGCTCTAAACGCAATGTGAAAAGGCAAGTTCGCGTGTACATGCGCAAGCGCTATGCTAAAGTAGGATGTAGAGTAGGAGAAGCCATGCAAGGAAGAGATTCAGGGGTGAGCAGCTTGGGACATGAGATGTGATAGGAATCAGGTCAAGAGTCTACTGAAACAGGCAGGTTTTCGGGCCATGTCACAAAAAGCGTTCGGGGATCTGCAACATCTCCATGCTTAGGGCTGTGCGTTTCCCTTGGCATTTCTCTGAGTTGTCTTTCTCTGTCTAATTACAGGCAAAGGTTATGAGGTAACTTTCTTTGAGCACTTGCACAGATTCCGCATGCGTTCGTCAAGTGAATGGCGCAGATCACAGATTAATGCCAGGGGTACGGAACGGATAATGATCGAGAGCATGACAGACAGGCTGGTGCAATAGAATTTGCAGCTGCAAATGCAGAAGTTCCTAGCCCTGCCTCATGTTGCTTTTCTGGAGGTAGCTGGTCGTAGTACCAGGCCCACAGCAACAGGCCCCCGATCAGGAAGAAGGTAAGGGCCAGCAAATTCCTTGTCCAGACAATCACTCAGGACAGGTGGTCTCTGTGGGGCGAGGTCTCTTGAGGCTGCTGCAACTGGAGGTTCAGCCATTGCACTCGCTTCTCAATTCCAGCCATGGCCTGTCTTCACCACAATATGCAAGGCCGCTTCCAAATCGGGACGGACCAACTGATTGAGACTGTAGCCGCATCGTGGCGCTCGGCGGATGCAGATTTCAGAGGCGAAGCATCCCCGTCCTGGCATCGGGAAACACATACACTTCGAAATTCTCTCAGCTCAAGTCCTCAAGCTGAATGTAGGAGTCCAGCAATTCGCCTCGAAACTTGCTTAGCAAAACCAAGGCATAGTCGGCATAGGGCCCTCTTATCATGTTGGCTCCAGCTGCAGCAGCGGCAGCAGCAGCAGCACCGGCAGCAGCGGCCGCTGCCGCGACAGAGCAGCAGCAAGACATAAGATGATGAAGAAGCACCCGACCAGGAACAGTTGCGGCGGCAATAATACCAGACAGAACAACAAACGCCAGGAAGTTGACTACGACTACGCCACCGAAGAAGCACTGTGGCCTCTGCTGCCGCTACAACGACAAACGACAATTTTATCGAACGCCACGCAACCAAGCTCTGCGCCTTGCGGGCGTTGCACAGCTGAGAACACGTGTGGGGCTTCAAAAGTTCAAAGCTAACTGCGATTCATACCACGCAAGCGCTGCTGAATGCAAGGCCTAGCAGCAAAGGTGAGCTGGCGGATCACATTTCGCGTCCAATTGGATGCTACAGCTTGATTGATTTGCCCTCAGACCACCGCAAGCAAAGTAGGCAAGGCTGGCCCACAGCGGAGCGGGCTCGGACATGTTGAGCACCACCCTGGATAAGGGCCGAATTTTCACAGCCTACTAGGCCTTGCTTGAGAACACGCTGAGGCAGAATGCTGCCGTATGTGCTGCTGGGGGGAAATTTGCTATGGGGATTTACCACCCCAGCGGGCCTGACAGGCACGCCCTCCCCCAACCTCGACCTCCCCAGCTCCATCCAGGTAGGTTTTCGGACGCCCGTGAGCGGTTGAAAGCTTGTGTTTTGCGCAAGCGTCCACTCCCTGATTACACACGGTCAATCCTCCTTTGGCAGGGTCGCGCCAGGCAGACGTAGGTCCTGTACATGAGCGAGGGTGCTGCGCGAGTATCCTCCTCTCACGACCCATACGGGCTCTCTTGAGCAACAGCTTAACATCAACAAAAAGCAGCAGAGGTGGGACCTAAGCCTCAGCAACCAAACAAAAAGCATCACTGGCAGCCGCCGGGGCAAACCGCCACAGCTTAGGGCCACCCAGTCCAGGCAGTGGGTGAAATTGTTGCCAAGATGCCAGACCGCGAAGATTCCTGCAACAAAGCCCTGGAGGGTTCAAAAGCATCACGTGTCCAAGCCGGACGCCAAGTTTGAGGCCTTACCTTCGCAGAGCAAGCTCCAAGTCGGGCATGCAAAGCCCGGACGCACGGATGCTTATCAAAGGCTGCAACGGGAATTCTATGCCCAGGTACCTCGTGCAACACACCCATGTTTGTGGCAGCGCTCTCGCCTTCATAAAAAGGCTGATCAAGAAACCTGGAAGACTTTGCGCACACACTCTGCAAAACTGCGTCCTTAGCGAACAACGCGTTCCCAACGGCAAAAGCGGCGTTAAAAGGCCTCCAGACCGGGTCGCAGCCCAGTTTCCCGTGTGCCTTCACTCTGGCCAGCAATGGCACCCCCATGGCGATTTCGAAGCTAACGGCGAGCTCGGCTAAGGTAACTCCAGGGTCATCAGACGCAGCCTCTCCCGTGCATATTTCAAAAGGCTGGCCCGCAACAATACGAAATTAGCAAAGCATCCGTCGCGGAGGGTAATCATTTTACACCATTGGGGCCTGTTAAGGGGCAATGTCGGGAATTGCTGGCGCTGCCAATCTTCATCCCCCAGGCGGCCACACAACACAGCTGCTGAAAAGTAGGAAAGATGCCATCCCCTTTTTCTCGGAACAACCTCCTGCAGCCTAGCCTGATAGGCTTCCTGTACCGCACGCATGAAACTATGAAGGCTTCGTGCCTACTTAACATCACGCACGGCGCCGCTGCTTCTTTTAGCTTTGTCAAAAAGTTGCGTGGTTACCTGTGATGAGGAAAGCCTGCTCAAGAGCAAATGCCTCTCTGAAAACCCGACGGGAGCAGACGTGTTGAACAAGCAATTGTCGATGATCACGAACGCTGTCATGGCAAACGTCATCCAAATGCTCCCAAGTGCCACCATTTGGCATTAAAGACCATTAAGAACCGCTCGTGGCTGGCCCCATTGGCGCGCAAGAGTAAAGCGGCCTGTTTGCAAATGCACTACCTCATCATGAGCTTCGCAGCAAAAAACAGCAAGCTCAGCCCTACGTTTCTTAGGTGCGTACGCCGACCCATCAAAAGAATGACAAAAATCAACGGAGACCAGGCTGAACCCTAGGCTGAACAACTGGCAGCTGACCAGCGCGAGCTCTGAGCGAACACTTGGGAATTCTGCGCGAATAGACGATACAAAGTCAAAGGAAACGAGCCTAGACGTCTTCGCTGCGCATATGGTCCCAAACAGAGCGACCCTGCTGCCTCAGCTGCCAACGGCATGAACCCGACAGGATAGAATGAAGCATACCTTGCTCATTTGGCGGCAGCGCGCGCGTAAAAAAGAACAGGCGGCATCCACAGCGATGTGTGTAACAGGCTCAATTAAAATTGCCATATAAAAACAAGAGCAGCATCATGCTGATAAACGACCCCAAAGTTCTCAACACATCCCTCCTTAAAACGCAAGATACAAACCTCACAACACCTACAAGGTGCCCACCCGGCGGTTGATTTTCCAACCGTTTTGGAAAGAAACATCCCAATCGACTTCATGAATAACCTCCCGAGAGAATTTGGCAAAACAGCGACCCGATGAGAAGCCCACCCTGGACCTATCTGGGAACCAAGAGAATGCTTGCCTCATGGCTAGGATGCCAACGGAATCCGTGCTCGGCCGATTGAGCCGTTTAAAATGAGTACAGCAGACGCGAAGTGCTTTTGAGCTGCAAATATGGACCCTGACGCAGCAGACCGCAAGGTCTTTATAAAGGTAGCAGAAATTGGGCCTATCTCACATCCACAGAATGTTTCAGGCCAGCATCCGGCGCGCACCACGAAAAATTTAGCTGATCTACTCGGTGCGTGTGCCACGCGCTACATGTCCAGTTTAATCTCTTCACACCTTGCGATATCTGCGGTGGTAGATCGAGTAGGTCAGTAGTTCATGTGACGAGGAAAATAATGACCGGATGATCACCAGAATCCCTGAACCCCAGGCATCTGAGCTCCAACACCACATTTTGCTCGGCGCGACACTAGAGAGGCAAATTGCGTCCTGAACCAAGACGTCGAAGTTGTCTGCACAGGCATATGGCATTTGAGAGGACTGGCCCTGCACAGCCTCGAAGCCCACCCAGTAAGTAAAATGGAAGTGACTATGAAAGGACCTCACTCAGGAAAACCACGCGAGGTAGTGAAATGACTGTGCAAGGAGCCGTGGATCTGAAAGGAATGCTGCATCGCCCCAAGTGCAGCCTCCACGCCCAAAGCATACCTTCTGGGAAACATTATGCGTTTGCCCGCAGTCGCTTCCGCCACCGAAATGACTCCTCCCGCCTTGCGGAGAAGCGAGAGCCCTCACACCCAGGAGCGTGGGTACTTGCTTTACGAGTACTAGGCTCCCCTGGAAAGCCCAGAAGTGGGACTGGGCCAGCTCATGCTCTGTGCAAGAATGTTGCGGTAAAGCCGGTGTCGCGCTTTACTCCCAGAAGATGTTTTCACCATGCGCGAGGTCCATGTGATCTGGCTATGACCAATGAGACATTCAGGGGCCCAAAAGATTTGGGGGCCCACTCTGCTAAAGCTCCAGCAACAGTGTGCTGGCGTGTTCCTACACAGCAACTGCATCCGAAGCTTGAGCTGTTAGTGCTCAGCAGCAACCGCAGCAACAAGCAGCAACCACAACCACCCCAACCACAACCACGCCCACAACAGCAGCAGCAGCAGCAGCAGCAGCAGCAGCGACAACAACAACGACAACACCCACCCTAATGACAACCACAACCTAATCAGAGCTAGGAACTCGGATGCGAATACTTCATTAAAATGGGGCTGCAACATGGGTAACTCATTGGGTATGGGTAACCAACCGGTCAGGACTCATGGTTCAGTTCAGGGAAAGGGCACGTGCAAAGATTAAGGTGAGATGTGGAAATTAGGCAAATGGCATACAGGGAGAGTGTAGGGACGGAGGGCAGCAGCAAAGGCAGGATGAAGGGCAAAAACATGAGGTACGGTCGGTACGGTAGAGGGTAGAGGCAAGGGCAGAGGTAGGGGCAAGCGTAGTGAGCGTAAAGGCAGGTATACGGTATAATTATGAAAGGGAAAGGGGACCTGTCGAGGCGTTATGAGGAGCAAGGGGTGATGCTACGTGATGGTTGCTTGGGTACGGTGGAGTGATGAGGCACGTACGGGATGCGGTCCAGACACAGCGACAGCTATGAGGATCGCTGTGATTATTGCACTTCTGACATGCGAGGACCGAGGACACACCAGACGCTGCGAACCGCAACAACACGGCAATTCCTACGCTGAGACCACATGTCACCTGACACATCATTGGCCGCATATTTCCAACCCTAAAGACAATAATCAATTGCTAGGCAACAGGGATCCAGGAAAGAGGACTGTGCTAGTACCATGTCGCCACAGCCGCGCAAGTATGCCAAACGATAATGTTCAGAGATGGCCAAGCATAGGAGTGCCAATGCTAGGACATATTGCAGCAAATTGGTAGTTCCGGCCTGAGTGCGCGCCCATCTTCCCAGGCACAGGCTCCTTGCCCATCTGAGCTCACATTGCCCCGGGCTTGTCCAAGACAGGATAATGCAGGATGAGCTCGTGTAGCAGGATGGAGTTGCAGTTGTCTAGGGCACCTTGCTTGCACAGGCGCTGATGGACTCCAAATCAGATCTTTGAAGTTGGAAGTCTGCAGTCGAATCAAGCTTTGCCGACTTGAGCATGAGAGCGCACATTCGCCA